GATTTTTTGATAATGGGCATTCTGACCAGTGTGAGATGATACCTCATTGTAGTTTTGGGTTGCGTTTCTGTAATAGTGATATTGAGCATCTTTTCATGTGGTTTTTTATGGTCTGCGTGTCTTCTTTGGAGAAACATTTATATCTTCCACCCAGTTTTTTGATTGGGTTGTTTTTCGATATTGATTGGGTTGTTTGTATATTTTTGAGATTAATCCCTTGATGGTTGCTTCCTGTGAAAATATCATCTCCCATTCTGAGGGCTTTTTGTTTTGTTTATGGTTTCCTTTGCTTGGCAGATTTAAGTTTTATTAGGTCCCATTTGTTTATTTGTGTTTTTATTTTCATTACTCAAGGATGTGGATCAGAAAATTTCTTGCTGCGATTTATGCCAGAGAGTGTTCTGCCTATTTTTCTAAGTTTTATAGTATCTGGCCTTACGTTTAGATCTGATACAGAGCTCTTTGATTCCATGCTACACCGTTCTTTCAGGGATACGTGAGTCTTCCCTATAAGGTGATGCCCATTGATTTCATTGTGCAAAGCTGAGACGTCTCAGAATCTCACCCATCTTGGATGAGGGCTAGGATTCCAGGAAGGGAAGACAGACTCCTAGAAACAGGAACTTCTCAAAACAGAATTTAGAACTTCTCTCCTATTCTGTACAGGCTTCCCAGGTGAATCAGCAATAACGAATCCACCTGCAATGCAGGAAATGCAGGAGACGTGGGTTCAATTGCTGGGTCTGGAAGATCCCCTGGAGGAGGAGATGGCAACCCACTCCAGTATTCTTGCCTGGGAAATCCCACGGACAGAGGAGCCTGGTAGGCTACAGTCAGCGGGGTCACAAAGAGCCAAACACGACTGAGCAACTGAGCACTGCCTATTCTATTCTGTACAATCCTTTAGCCACACATACTCTGTACAAAAAGGAACACCCGATACACTGCATGTGAAAGGAATCCAGAAATTCTGGTATAGCTTTGCTTGGCAGTTGCTTTGCCTGCAAATTTGCAGAATATGCAGATAGCCCCACCAGAGAATTCTAGGTGAGAGCAAACTTTAGAGTAGTATGTGGGTGGAATGGAGAAATGGCTTTAGGCCATCCTTTGCCCCCAAGGCACCTGCGATGGCCATTTAATGGTGCTTTCAGAAGGAGTCCCATCTCTTCTTTGAACAGAATGTTCTAGGGGGCATCTGAGAGAACAAAGTATTAAGCTCCCCTCCTCTCCACTTCATTAACCTTAACGACATCCATACAACCCTCATCAGACACAGAGAGAACCAAAAGGCCATCATGTTACTACTTTACTAGATTTGCAGAGATGGTCAGCAGCACTGGGTAATAGCCACTTGAGCTACCTGAATTGTCTAGTGATCAAGGACCTCTGCTTTCTCACAAGATTTTCCCACAATCCTCTCTGCTGCCTGCACAACCGTATCCTGTGTCCACATCCCATGCCTGCCCTTTTTCGAAGAGCTTCCTGGAAGCACCATATGATGCAATTTTGTTCTTTTCAAATAATTCTCTTTTTAAAAAATTTTTTGGGTATTTAACTTATTTTCCATGACTATTATCACTAACACATTTAATCTCGCAGACTTTCAACAGTTTTCTGTTTCCTTAGTCCTCTCTTGTTTCTTTGCTTCTTTGTTTATTGAAGTTATTTTCCATTGTTTCTTCCCCATTTAAAAATTTTTTATTTGGTTGTGCTGGGTCTTAGCTGCCACATGTGGAATTTAGTTCCCTGACCAGGGATGGAGACCCGGTCCCCAGCAGTGGAAGTGCAGAGTATTAACCACTGAATCAAGAGGGAAGTACCCCCTTTTTTTTTTAAATTGAAGGTTTATGGCAACCCTGCTTCAACTGGCAAGTCTATTGGTGCCATTTGGGTGGGTAGTACCTGGAAAAGGGAATGAAGCAGGGCTAGAAATGATGTTTTTGCTTTTTTTTAATATAGCTATCAGTTACGTGGAGTGTTTAGTGGAAATTCACCTAGCTGTATACATATGACATATGTGCTTTATAAAATCTAAATGAGATGGTTAGAAGCATCACCGACTCAATGGACATGAGTTTGGGCAAACTCTGGGAGACAATGTAGGACAGGGAAGCCCAGTGTGCTGCAGTCCATGGGGTTACAGAGAGTCAGACACGACTTAGTGTACTGAACAACCATGGATAAATAAAACACAGTATATCCAGACAGAGAAATATTTCTCAACCATGGGAAGAAATTAAATATTGACATGAGTGACAATGTGGGGTGAGCCTCAACAACATCATGCCAAGTGAAAGAAGCCAGACACTGATGGTCACGTACTATATGAAATATCCAGGAGAGGGTTGGGGCTAACAGTTCCCAGGGGCTGGAGGGATGAGAGATTGAAGAATGACTGCTCGTGGGTACAAGGTTTCCTCTCAGTATAACGAAAATGTTTTGGAACTAGACAGAGATGATGGGTGCAGATGATGGTTGCATTGTAACTGTACTAAATGTCACTTAATTGTTCACTTTAAAATGGTTAATTGTATATCATAAATTTTATCTCAAAAAACTAAAAGTGTATACCATAATTTTAAAATTGTGTAAGGGGAAGTGAGTTTCTCTAAGAATTTAGTTAACTTGCCACAGATTGTGGCAATTCATCAGGGTTTTTATTTGAATGCAAGTTGATCTCCATAAATATACTACTGGTCTCCCACCCCCACCCCAGCCGGCACTGCACTGACTACCACTGAGCTTTGGTTGTATCTTTTTTGGAGAGAAGGAGTCATTCACACGGAAGACAGAGGAGATCTTTATTGGTCAGAATGACTAGGGAAAGGATGTATTTTGAGAGGCAGCTGAAGAATCCTGTAACTTCTGCCTCTCTGAGAACACCAAGACTTACAGACTGTGGATGAAAAAAGAGATTACCATCAGTATCTCAGCCTGTCACCTCCAAGATAGGATAATCCTTGCTTCTCCTTAATTGGACATCTGGTCTACCTCTAAGGTCTACACAGCATGAATAAGTAGAACAGGATGGCTCAGTGGTAAAGAATCCGCCTACCACAACCTGATGTGGGTTCAATCCCTGGGTCAGGAAGATCCCCTGACTGGAAAATCCCATGACAGAGGAGTCTGGTGGGCTACAGTCCTTGGGGTCGAAAAAGAGAAACGACTTAGCAACTAAACAACAAAGAGAAGGTGTATTTCTCTCTCACTCTCAAATTCAATATGCCATTATTGATCATTCTAAGTTGCTGATTTGCATAAATTATGTTTCCTGGTGGCTCAGCATTAAAGAATCCGCCTGCAATGCAGGAGACCCAGGTTCTATCCCCAGGTCAGGAAGATCCCCTCGAGAAGGGAATGACCACCCAGTCCAGTATTCTTGCCTTGGAAATCCCATGGACAGAGAAACCTGGCAGGTTATGGTCCATAGGTGGCTAAGTGTTGGACACAACTGAAGTGACTGAGCACAAATGCATGTAATCCATTATTTGAACAAATTTCCTAAATTGATAATTTTCAATGTTAAGGAAGTTGTTAAAATGATGGAATTGGAGAGCTATAGCCAAGCACCACTGATACCCTTTTATAAGGTAATGAAAAGCTCACAGATGAGGCAACATCCAACTGAAGGCCAAGTTTAGAAACCACGGAAACCTTCTGGCATCTTACCAAGAAGCAAGTCTGCAGATCAATCCAGGAATTAACAACTATTGACTGAGCTCCAGGGAAGGTTCAAGAATCAACCCAAATCAGCTGGGGGAGGAAGTGGGACCCCTTACACATGTAAAAGAGTATAGTTTCTATGCCTGGGTTCCAATGGGGCTTCAACTTTTCTGGAAGCCCGACAAGAAAGTTCAGCCCCATCATTTACTAGGATTTCATTGTGGATAGGGAATGCCCGGGCTCTTTGTCTTCCTGTTACTGGTATTGTAATGCCCCAAAGGTATTTCCAAATTAATGGCTGTCTGGTGTGGGGTGTGTGTGATAAGTTACTGTCAGACTCTTTGTGACCCCATGGACTGTAGCCCACCAGGCTCCTGTCCATGGGGTTGTCCAGGCAATAATACTGGAGTGGGTTGACATTCCCCCTTCCAGTGGATGTTCCCAACCCAGGGATCAAATCTGTGTCTTCTGCGTCTCCTGCATTGCAGGCAGATTCTTTACCGTGGAGCCACCTGGGAAGTCCAGAAATGGGTAAGCTCTCCAGTGTCCTTAACCACACTTCTCCTTCTCCTATCTTCTTTTCAATGGAAACTTGAAAAGTTTCAAAGTTTCAGTTCTTCGTTTGAATGAGATCACAGACAAATCATCCAAGCCAGGGGCAGCAAACTAGAGCCTGCAAGCCAAATCCCACCCACCATCTATTTCTGGATGGCTTGTGAACTAACAGTTTTCTCATTTCTGAGTGGTTGACAACAGTGGTTGTATTTCTGGTGAAGGAAAGGGCAATATAATAGAGAAGCAGAGATATTATATATATTTTAAAAAAGGTTGAAACAAAAACAAAAATTACAAGGTGACTGGTATTTTGTGACTCCTGAAAATTATATGAGATTCATTCATTTATTTATTTTTTGACCATGCCTTGGGGCATGTGGGTTCTTATTTCCCTGGCCAGGGATCGAACCCACACACCCTGTAGTGGAATCTCAGAGTCTTAACCACGGGACTGCCAGGAAAATCCCTTCTTGCTTATAGTTTATTTTTAATTTTTTTGAGACTCAAATTTAAAGCTTATAAATAAAATCTTATTGAAATACACCAATATTTATTATTATTTTTATAACCTGTGGCTGTTTTTGTCCTCCAAGGAAGAACTTAGTATGGCCTGTACAGCCTAAATTACTGACTAGTAGGTTATTTACAGGGAATGTTTGCTGACCCCTGATCTAAGCCATCACAAGAAAATCTTGACCCCAAGCTTCCCTTTCTATTAACCCAGAGGATCCCCTCTTTAAGATATCTATAAGATCCCCCAACTCCATCCTTCCTCAACCAACTTACTGGTAAGGAGAGCATTGTTTCCATTTTCCATCTTTGTTATAATCTCCTGTCAATGAACACCAACTCCGACTCAAAACATAGCCTTCCTTGGTGCATTTATAAAAGTATTTATTTCTGTACAAGAAAGGGAAGGTGCAGCTTGGGGGATCTGCAAAGAAAGGATGGAGCAGAAGGAGAAACATGAACATAAAAAGTCTTAGCCTTAACCATCGCTGCACTCACAACACATGCTTTCTCTACCACACAGAACTGTTTTCGAGGCGATTAAACAACATCAAGGGCTTCTGGGGTGGCTCAGTGATAAAGAGTCCGCCTGTCAATGCAGAAGATGCAGGAGACACAGGTTCAGTCCCTAGGCTGGGAAGATCCCCTGGAGACAGAAATGGCAACCCACTCTAGTCTTCTTGCTTGGGAAATCCCATGGACAGAGGAACCTGGAGGGCTACAGTCCATGGGGTCACAGAGAATCAGACACGACATAGCGACTAAACAACAATAACAACCCTGTAAAGAGTCAGGATTTGGATGCAGGTTTATCTGACAGCAAAAACCATGTAGCCAGCTGCTTCTTGGATCCTAGTCATCTAAACACATCCTAGCAATGCTCACCTTCTGCAGTGCAATACCGCCATCTACCTTGGAATATCTCATCGATAGAGCACCAGGCATAGTCACTGCGGACAGAGATGCAGTTGTGGTAGATAATGTCATCATACACAAATGGAAAGATACAGGAATAGTTTTTATACACTGGAAAAGAGAAAACAAGCAAACTGACAAAGGGAATTGACTTTCTAACTTAGTCTATCACACTTGATGGCACCTACCTCCCTCACATCCACATGTGGCTCATCTCTCTCCCTGCCTTCTCTGGGTCTGGCACAAAAATAGCCAAATGAGTATCAAAGGAAGTGTATTTCATCCCGGACCTGGGGGCAGACTGGAGTCACTGGCTTCCTTTTCAGGGAAGTCCTCTACCCACTGTGCACCAGACCCAAGACGCAATTCTAGAGTCTTTTTTAGCATCTTTTATCTCTCTCTCTCCTAGTAAAAGAAACCTCTTACCTTTCACAGTTTGTCCCTAGGTATCTCTCAAAGCTGACCACTTGTCTTGACTACTCAGTGACTTATTTCTGGATGCTTCTAACTGATTTGCCCCATCTCTTCTTCACACTGCAGCAAATATCTTCATTCTTGAATACTAACCTGACTCTGCCACACCTCTGTTCACATTCCATTTTTTTTTAATTATTTATTTATTTGGCTGCACTGGGTCTTCATTGCAGCATGCGAACTCTTAGTCACAGTATGTGGAATCTAGTTCCCCGACTAGGGGTCGAACCTGAGCCCCCTGCATTGGGTGCATGGAGTCTTAGCCATGAAGTCGCGCCATCACTCTTAGGATAAGAAATAGCATTGAAGTGGCTTATGATATCCTACTTGACCTGGTCCCCAGCTGCACCTCCAGCCTCACCTTGGACCACCCTTCCTTGGGCTCTCTCTGCTCAAGCTTTGTAAGGTCTCCCAAGTGTACTGCCGTCTTTCTTGTCTTGGGGATTTATAGATGTGATCTCTGATTGGCAAGAACATCACACACCATCTTCCTGTTTACCCTCCCCTGACATTCATCCTAAATGTAAATCTCTGAGGAACTCCCTTGAACATCCAGTCTATGCCGGATCCACTTGTATAGAACTTCCTTACAAGCTCCCTTATACTTCTTATAAGTTCTCATATTTATTTAATATGGAGTGACTCATCCAGTGTCTCATTTGCCAGGTGTGACCACATATATATTGTTCAACGGTAGACCCATGGTGTCAACTGACAGGTCAGGACTGGTCCAGAGGAGAAACTTAACCTACATATGATAAAATCCACAAATGCTGATGTTAATTTCAGTGGAGAAAAAAGTACTTTTCCAAAGGAGCATGGGAGAGGATCTTGGAGAGCTGACTTAACTGGGTCTTGAAATATATGGTTTGGCTACCACGATCAGGGAAGGGTCTTTTATGCCAGAAGAACAGTGAATGAGGAACTTCCCTGGGTTTCCAGTGGTTAAGACTCAGTGTTTCCATGGCAGGACATGGGGTCAATCCCCCTGCAGGGAAGTAAGATCCCACTGCCATTGGCAGTGTAGCCAAAAATAATTAACTAACTAAAGAAAGAAAGAATGAAAAAAGAAGAATAGTGAATGAAAGAGTAGAACAAACAGGGAAGTAAGTGCAAGGAACTTTCAGAATGTAACATTGTTTCATGGGTGGGGTGAGATGGGACCTTGCATTTGAGATGCTAACAAATAAAAAAAAGATGTCTCCTTACCGGGGAATGGAGGAGAGATATGGACAATCAAGTCTGAAAGAGAAAAAAAAAAAGGCAGAATTTAGACCGCCTCCTAAAATACTCTATTCCCAGGCAAATGGCAATTACAGGTACCTTGAAGCTGACGCAGCCAACTGCTCTCCTGTTACAGAAAACTGTCCCATTTTGGATGACTTATGGTTACTTCTAATTTGGACAGGGGGTTTAAGTTCACCCAAGACAGTCCATTAATTCAGGTATGAGCACTCACTATTCCTCAGGTCTTTCTTTGTGTAAGTCAGGATAAATCTGCCCCATCCAAGTTCATTCAACTTTGACCCATTGGTTGAAATTCCACAGGTCTGAAAGTTGGATGGAACATCTAGCTTTTGCCCACATGCCAGCATTTCAGGAAAACAACCTGTTTGTTCGTTCAGTGCTAGAGGCTGAGTATTTACAGCAGCCTTGGTGATTTTGTTTGATTTCCTTTCGTGTCATTTTCCACGTCATTTTGCTCTTTTATCATCCCTGAACCTGTTTCAGGAAGTGTCTCAGCAGCACTTCCACTGTCATAAAAGTCAGGTTGAAAGTGAAAGTCACTGTCATGCTCGACTCTTTGCAACCCCATGGACTATACAGCCCATGGAATTCTCCAGGCCAGAATACTGGAATGGGTAGCTGTTCCCTTCCCAGGGGATCTTCCCAACCCAGGAGTCAAACCGGGGTTTCCCACATTGCAGATGGATTCTTTACCAGCTGAGCTACCAGGGAAGCCCTGAAGTCAGATTGGACCCAATTAAAGACTAGAAAGGAAATACGCAGACCTGTTAACCAACAACATTAGCTTGTATTTAATTGGCCATTCCTATGTTCCAGCCATTGTCCTCAGTTGCTCTTTACAACAACTCTGTGAAGGAGAGATTATAATTTAGAACACTCTTCTCATCCCTGACCCACCTAAGTTTTATGGAGGAGAAAACATAGGCAATGGGAAACTCCTGAAAGTTATATGACCACCGACTGGTGGGAACAAGGTTCCAACCCAGGAAGTCCTGGTACGGAGACTGCGTTCTGGACACAATATTGATATTATCTTGGAATTGTCACCTACCTATGAAAGTGACTTAACTGATATACTTCACTCTCCTGATCCTTGATATGGTGATGCTCACTCATAGGTCTGCGTGAGACTCTATGCCTCAGGAGCTACGGCATGGTGAGTATGTCATCTGTGTTAGCCAGTATTAGCCCTGCTTTTCAGAAAGTAGCTGAAAAGTTGTCAACGTTTTCGAAATCGTGATTAAATAAATGATTGTTCTGGGTGGCTTCTTGCACTTAACACCTTCTGCTAATTATCTCACAGAAATGATGCTTACAACACCACGGTAAGATTGGTATTATTACATGCTATTGTGGAGCCCTGTACTAGGGTCATAGGCGTGGAGTCTTATACCAAGGTCACAGGACAAAAATCTCCAGAATTAACCAAGCCCCATAACAACTGTTGCCATGAGCCTACTCACCTAAACTGACCAGTTCCTTGACCCCATATTAGGTAAAGTACCCACCCTGTAGCATCCTAACCACTCACTCAATGCCACCCCTCCTGTTGGAATTTTCTGTCTTGAGGCTATAAAAACTGGCCACTAGCCCACCAGCATCTCCCACTATAATAAACTCTATTCTCTCATTCTGCCTCGTGTCTGGAAATTCTTTTCCAACCCTCGCACATACCACAACAGTAATATTTATAGATTGCAGAGTATTAATGGTGATCTCTGTTTTATAGATACTGCAATGGAGGCTTAGAGAGGGGGTGGAAATCACTGTTCAAAAGCCAGAGAACTTGTGAAACAGATCGCCAGTCCAGGTTCGATGCCTGAGACAAGGTCCTCAGGGCTGGTGCCCTGGGATGACCCTGAGGGATGGGATGGGGAGGGAGGCGGGAGGGAGGGTCAGGATGGGGAACACATGTACACCCATGGCTGATTCATGTGAATGTATGGCAAAAACCACCACAATATTGTAAAGTAATTAGCCTCCAATTAAAAGAAGAAAAGCCAGAGAACTAGGAAGCAGTTCAGGTACTCTGGCTGCAGAAAATGAGCCTCTGAAATAGTCCTGCCTCTGGGGGGTTGCTGTTTTCAATTCTGGACCTCTTCCAGGTGGTGCCGGCCCAAAGCTGAGGCTCCACCCTGGGCAGATGAGGGTCATTTTAGGATAAAGCCATGGGTACTTAACGGCTTTCCTTGTGGCTCAGATGGTAAAGAATTTACCTGCAATGTGGGAGACGCAGGTTCCATCCCTGGGTCCCCCGGAGGAGGGCAGGGCAACCCACTCTAGTATTCTTGCCTGGAGAATCCCACGGACAGAGGAGCCTGGCTACAGTCCATGGGGTTGCAAAGAGTCGGACATGACTGACTACACTTCTTTTTCTTTCTATGGGTGCTTAAATTTCGTTATAAACGCTAACAGTGGCTGCGTGAGTTTTCTGCTTTGTTCAGCCATGGCAGTTAACATTTACACCCTCTTATCTCTACAGTTTTTAATCTTCACGGCCTTCTCCTCATTTTACAGATGAAAGGGCAGAAAGAGACTTTCACTTAAACCTTTCCCACACAGTCAGAAAAAAAAAAAAAAAAAACGCACGCAGCCTGAACTCTCGCCCAGCTGTGTCTGATTTCAGGAAATAAGTTATTTGTTTTACGAACCTGGAGATGATCCTTTGCTGTTTCATCTGCTAACACTGATGAACGAGACTAAATCCTTATGGATCTTCTGTGTTTGTACTTTATGCCCTTATCACACTGTATGCCTGGGCAGACATTACATTTTTATCATCAGATCCCCTCCTCCTCCCTGCTCCTTCTTCTCTCCCCTTCTCTCCTTGCTCTTCCTCCTTCTCTTGCTCCAGCTGATGCTGAGAATAAATGCCACCACCAACTGTATCCCCAGTGTGTTCTGAGAAAGAGGAAGCTAAAGGCAGCCCTCTCCCCCTCACCCAAGCCCCCTGACATCTGAAGGCTGACCAGGCACTTGGGGCACGCTAGCCCTGTCCTCCAATCAGACGTCAATCACTCCCAGAATCATGACCTCAGACAGGCGTCCTCTGAGATCTTGAGAAAGTGAGATAAAGCAAGAGCTCTTCAGCAGTGTGTGGAAGCACAGACCAAAGCACATTCACCATGTTACAAACTACCAGACACCTCCTCCAAAAAGAGTGACCGCTGCCTCTTTGTCAATTACACCTTTCTCATGCTGTTCTGTCTTCACTCCAGAGAAGATGAACCGAGATACCCAAGCATAGCATTGCCTCCACTTTCTGATCACATCCAATCTTGGGTGAGACCCAGCTCCCTTAACCTAAGCTGCTCTCGCTACAGTCTCCCACCCAGAGCCCAAACCCTAGAATAGATCCTAACACTCTCTTCCTGAGACAGTCCATGGTATACCCTGGGCCGTGTGGTCTTCCTGGTTCCAGTGAGTGGGAAACTAGTTTGTTCAGCACCCCTGTGTTCCTGGTGGGCTTGGGTTAGATGCAGGTCATTGACAGTTCCAATGATTTTACCTACCTTTTCTATATAATCCTTACAACAATGGTAAGAGATAAAGATCATTTGCCTTCTAATGAATTTGTTTTTCTGGATAGGGAATACACTGAGTTCAAACTTCAAGTGGGTTATGAAAGGGAAATCATGTCAGTCTTTTCAGCCACCCCCAACTCCTGCCTCCCCACAGATAACCATGTTGTAATTCCTGTGAAACCTACAGAGATAGTTCATGTATATTCAATGTATATATTAATAACATTTTACTCCCTTTTTAGACAAAGGAGAACTTGGCTTACATATTGTTTATTTTGAAGCTTCCTCTCTTAACAAAAGATCTTGGTAAACTTTCTAAAGCAATACATAATAAGCTTCATTCATTCATTCTTCCTTCCTTCCTTCTTTCTCTCCCCTTTCTTCCTTCTTTCTCTCTCCTTTTTCTTTCCTTCCTTCTCTCTCTCTCTTTCATTGTAGTAAGAACTTTTCACATGCGATCTACCTTCTTTACAAACTTTTGAGTGCACAAACCAATAACTGCTAGCTATAGACATTATGTTTTCCAGCAGACCTCTGGAACTTACTCATCTTGCGTTATTGAAATCTTTCACCCATTAAGCAAACTCCCCATTGCCCCTTCTCCCCAGCTCTTGGCTTCCACCAATTCTACTAGTGTGACTATTTTAGATACTTCATCTAAGTAGAAACACGCTGTATTTGTCCTTTTGTGACTAGCTTATTCCACTTGGCGTTATGTCCCCCACGGTCATCCGTGCTGTTCCATTCTACAGGATGTCCAGGCTTCTTCCTTCCTAAAGTATTATAACCATTGTACAGATAAGAAGGCTGAGGCTTAAAGAGAGGCAAAGTTACCTACTGATGATCACTCAACCAGCAAGAGGAAAAGCCAGGATTTGAACCCAGGACACTCGAAATCTTCGCTTTGGCACTAAACATTAGGCTCTATTTAAAAGATACTATGAACATTGGCTAGACTCTGTTTCCTGCCCATCTCACTCCAAACCACCACCTCCTAGGTCTCACCTTCTTCGTCTATCCTCCCCTCCCTGACGCTTCTGGTGATCTCACCTGATTTCAGCCCATATAGACAGAGGACCAGGGACAGCCATCTCACCAGGCTTCTCATCACTCCCAGTGAACTGCAGGTGGCCTGCACAAGCAAGCGTCGCTTCTGACTTTATACCCTCCAGTTTCTGCTCCTCCTACTCCTGCTCTTCTGACTATTTACAGACCACTCCACAGCCTTTTCTCCCATGCCCCGAATCCCAGGCTGCCTAGAAAAATCAGGAACCACCATCTCAGAAAGCTCTCTAGCAGCATTCTGGAAGTGCGGTCCCTGGACCAGCTCCACCATCTTCACCTGCAAACCTGTTAGAAATGCAGGTCCTTTGGCCCCTGCAGCAGACCTGCCGAAACACCGAGGATGAGACCAGTCGCCTGTGTTGCAACAACTCACCTCCTGGTGAGTCGAATGTTCGAAAAAGTTTGACAACCACTGCTTTAGAGCTAGCTTCACACTTCCTCATCCATTTCATATCACCTACTCCCTTGATTATTAAAAACAAAAAAGACTAACACAACATTGTAAAGCAACGATACCCCAATAAGAAATATCATTAAGAATTTCCAAAAGAAAAATGCATGTTTTCTATCCCTGATTTAATAGAAACTCTAGCAATAATTTAACCAAAGTTTCTCAGCCTGGACTTTGGGGAAAAAATAAATAGAGACACACAGAGAAAGTCCTGTAAGAAAGGCAAAGTCATCTTTAGCTTCCTGAATAAGTAAGGCTCAGAAAGGCTAGGCATCGTGCCTTGTGGTCAGCCAGTATGTGTAAAGGATGGATCTTGGTCCACTTTAGAATTCCTCCCCCACCTGCCATCTCTGGAGGGATCTGGGAAGAGTGCTTTATAAGAGAGAGAAGAGACTGGAAGAGTGACTTCCCCGAAGGAGGCGGGTGTCTTGCTGGACTCCCCGGGGCAAACCAAGATGAGGAAGAAACTGTCCTGGAGGCCAAGTATCATGACAATGCCAGGAAGGGAGGCACTTAACGCTCATCCTGCAGATCTTGTCTGTGCTGAGATCTTTTCAGACGTTATTTCACTTCGGCCCCAACATACGGAGATGGAGGACTGCTTAGACATATGTGTGCCCTTTCCAAAAAGAGATGAGAAAACGGAATACAAGAGAAGTGAGGGAGCTGATAAAGGCATGGAGAAGCCTGAGTCTCTCTTGTCCGATGCATTGATGTTGTTGTGTAAGTTGGATCCAACTGTTTTGCAGCCCCATGGACTGTAGCCTGCCAAGCTCCTCTGTCCATGGGATTTCCCAGGCAAGAATACTAGAGAGGGTTGTCATTTCCTTCTCCAGGGGCTCTTCCCCACCTAGGGATCAAACCCATGTCTCCTACATTGGCAGGCAGATTCTTTACCACTGAGCCACCAGGGAAGCCCTGTCTGACGCATAGGTTTTTGCTTTTTCTATATCTCTGTTTTGCTGAACTGATAGATGCCTGGCCTCTCTGCAGTTAATGAGGTCACCTGTCAATCAAGAGTAAGCAACATGGCTGGTATCAACACTTCACCCGAAGGAGCTGAGAGAAGTCTCACGCAACTGTGTGGCAAGGGAATTGTATCCGTGGTTTGACATCTGGGGAAACGGAGGCTCCAAGAGGCAACATCATTTGTCAGAGTTACATGGCTTGTGCAGGTGTGGAAGGGAACAGATTCAACGCGGGCACCTGGAGGAGGGCATGGCAACCCACTCCAGTGTTCTTGCTTGGAGAATCCCAAGGACAGAGGAGCCTGGCAGACTACTGTCCATGGGGTTGCAAAGAGTCGAATACGACTGGAGCCACTGAGCTTGCACGCACTCACTTTGATGTCAAGCCATCTTGCTCTTTCACGCCCCATTGTTCACAGTGATCTTTCAGGTCCCTTCATAGGAAGCCTGGCCTCTCCAGAGTCACAGGTTCAACTCTTACTCTCTACCCATGAACTCACTTCATCTCAGACCCTTGCTAGTTGAGAGATTCTGCAAAATTGCTTTTGCTTTCTCTGCTTGTACACCAGATTTCTAAAACATCTGGGCTACCTGCATCTAATTTGCGAGCCCAGTGAATACTTTTTTTTCCTTTGAGTAATTTCAATTAATTATTTTCCATCACACTATATAGTCTATTACCACTACTGTTCAGGATACCTACCAAGAAAATCAGTGTAATGTGAGGTCAGTTTTCTATACCTATTATAATTATTATTTTCTATTGTTGTTGACCATTCACCAAGTTGTATCCAACTTTTTGCAACCCCAGGGACTGCAGCACGCCAGGCCTCCCTGTCCATCACCAAACCCCGGAGTTTACTTAAACTCAAGGCCATGGAGTCGGTGATGCCATCCAACCATCTCATCCTCTGTCATCCCCTTCTCCTCCTGCCTTCAATCTTTCCCAGCATCAGGGTCTTTTCAAATGAGTCAGCTATTCACATCAGGTGGCCAAAGTATTGGAGCTTCAACTTCAGCATCAGTTCTTCCAATGAATATTCAGGACTGATTTCCTTTAGGATGGACTGATTTGATCTCGTTGGTGTCCAAGGGACTCTCAAGAGTCTTCTCCAGCACCACAGTTCGGAAGCATCAATTCTTCAGCAATTATTTTCTATAGCTATTATAATTATTATTTTCTGTACCCATTATTTAATAGGTTCATACTTCTGGCAGATATTTGACTTCCTGTCATTGATTAGGGATGTTAGCTTGTGCATCTTTGACTTTGTTTCTCTCTTTTTGGGGTGAATTTTTAAAAACACTCTTGATTCTAATTATAACTTCTCCCCAAGATAAGGGGAGGTTATACTCCTGAATATTTATGAGGCTTTGGAGGCAGTGATGAGTGTGTGCTCAGTTGGTGACGCACGTTCTAGAGATCCATCCCACCCCACACCCTAAAGTCATGGATGGGACGCTATGAGCAGGGCCGAGAACACCGTATGCTCTGGACGGGCCAAAGTGGACGTTAAAGAGAACCCATTATTCCTTTCCTGCTCAACCGAAGAGTCATTATGCCCCGAGGCACTCAACCAACTGTGATAAACTATTTTTCAAAACAAAGTGGGTGTCTAGCCAGCAGTACTGGGAGGGGTGGGGTGAGGATGAAAGGAAAACTTGACCACAGTCATGAACACACCAAGAGACTGTGCTGGGGGACTTGCCCGGTGGTCCAGTGGTTGAGGATCCGCCCGCCAGTTCGGGGGCCATCGGTTTGATCCCTGGTCTGGGAAGATGCCACATGCCGCAGAGCAACTAGGCCCGTGAGCCCCAGCTACTGAAGCCCTTACACCTAAAGCCGGTGCTCTGCAACAAGAGAAGCTGCCTCAATGAGAAGCCTGTGCACCGCAACTAGAGAAAAGTTGGGCCAGCAACGACAGCTCAGCACTGCCAAAAAGAAATAAATAACTCTTAAAAAAGCAAAAGAGGCAGCACTGGGCTTGAAATCCTAGAGATTCTACATGAATACCTCTAACCACTGGGAAACAGAGAAATTACTGATGATTCTAGCAGTAAGGTGGTGATGTGAGGTTCAAATTTATCTTCTGCCAAATGGAGAGATACATGGCACTGGGTTTAGATTCTTGCAATACCAACTCTAGAACTAGAAGAAAATATATGAGCATTCGTGTCAGAGGGACACTAACTTTCAAATTCTGAATTTCCCACTGATTTATTGGGGATGATAGCTAAGTAACGACTATCTTTTATAAGGGTTGTTTAAGATCTGTATTTCATAGATGCACAGCACACGAGGAAGAAAAGGTATTCAGCCTTCACTGGTGTCTGTTGTTTTTTAAGAACTGAATCTTTGTAAATAAGATATGTGAATTCTGAAACCTTGTGTATACTTCTGCTGGGACAGCCATAACAAAACATCATGGACTGGGTGGCTTAAACATCATGCATTTATTTGCTCATGGTTCTGAAGACTAGAAGTCCATGACCAAGGTGCTGGTGAATTCTATTTCTGGAGAAGGGTCTTTTCCTGGCTTTTGGAGGCTACTTCTTGCTGAACTTAAGGTCTTTGCTCTGTGCTCATATGATGGGGCAGGGTTGGCGGGTAGAGAGAGAGAAAGCAAAGAAAATAGATCTCTGGTGTCTCTTTGGGGACACATGTGCATTTGGGGGTGGGGGACACCATTCAGTCCTTAATACCCTGATTTATCTCTGCAAAATGAGATTGTTGGTATCAGCCTCACTTATACCGTGGGAGAATCTGAGGTTATGGGCATGAATTGTGAGTCAACATAAAAAAGCAAAGATATCTTGATTCTTGGAAAAGTTGACCCATACCCACATGTAAACAACTGGAACTTAATGTTAGTCTGCAGCTCTCATGCAGTTGATAATTTCAAGAGAGAGCTAGGGGAAATTCCCTGGTGGTCCAGTGGTTTAGTCCCTGGCCAAGGAACTGAGATCCCACAAACCACAAGCCCAGAACCAAGCAAAACAAAAAGAGAGAGAGAACTAGAGATGTGAGAATTCACTGATTGAAGAGATAGTGGGTGAGCATTTGGTTCGGGGCCAGAAATGTCTGGGCTTGAATGTAGTATCTGCCTCTTTCTCACAGGGACACTCTGAGCAAATTGGATTCACCTGTTCTAATCTGGTTTTTCTCATCTATAAAATTGGGGTCATCAGGGGCTTCCCTAGTGGACCAGTGGTGAAGACTCTGGGCTCCCAGTGCAAGGGAGGGAGGCAGCCTGGGTTCTATCCTTGGTCAGGGAACTAGATCTTGCATGCCTCAACTTAAAGATCTCACATAGCCAAACAAATAAATAAATCTTTTTAAAAATTGGGGTCATTAAAGTATTTTTCATTTTTCCCACCAGACCTGCTCATCCTGCCTTTGCATCTCTGTACATGACACAACCATTTCCTGGGACGCGTGGGTCCCACTGGAGCCACCCTAGCCTCCTCTCTTCCACTCTATAGAGCCAATCTGTCAGCCAGTCCTGCAGACGCTACCCCTGAAATCTATCCCAAGTCCAGCCACCTCCCACTTCTGCCAGTGCTGTGTCTCCAATCCAGCCACAGTCATTATCCCTTTGAATCACGACAGCCACTTAACCAGTT